CAGGCTGTACCTCCCTCTTGGCTACCTGAGGCTTGGGGTCCTCCAAACTCTTCACCTGGGCTGTTGGTCAGAGCTCGGCTCCATACTGACCACAGCCGCTGGGGGGGGGGGGGGCGGGGGGGCACTCAGCCAGCCCAGGGCTGGGTCAGTGTCTTGGCAGTGGGACTTGGCACATAACGTGTCCTCCAAGCATCTGTGACCATCTCCTAGGGGTGTCATTGGAGAAGCAGGTTCTAGCCAGGTCCTGCCGCTGTGGGGCCAGCCACTCTGGTGGCCTGGTGGCCCAGGTCCCTGGGGCAGGCAGCCCGGGTGATGGATGTGGAAGGGGAGCGAGCCAAGAGAAGTTGTGTCTGTCCATCCCCCACCCCCCCCCCAGGCTTGACCTTGTATAAGGGGCACAGCAGAGGGGCCTGGGCAGGCAGGAGGCCTTTGGGGAGGCTGGGGGCCCAGGGCTCTGGATGCCCAGCGCCTGGTCTCACCCCCACACCCCCTGCCAGGCTGGCACCTGTCTCCAGAGAGCAGCAGGAACAGGGCTGGGGCTGGGGAGTGGCCTGGCTGCCTGCCCCAGGCCTCTCTCTTCCTGTCTTTACTTTCTGCCATCCTGTGCTCCCCCACCGGCCCCTTCTCCCTGGGCCTCTTCTCACCTGGAGACTCTGGTGGGCCCAGTGCCAGCGTCTCTGGGCAGTGCTGGCGCTGCAAGACCCTCCCTTGGCCCTCTGTTCTCTTTCCCCACTGGGGGGGTGGGGGGGGGAGGCGGTTCTGTGCTCCTGAGGGGAAATGGGACCCCTTTCCTCCCGTCTTTCCTCGAGTCCCCCCAAACCAGCCAGGCACACAGTAGGTACTTAAGTAATAGCAAGTGTCCACACCAGGAGCTGAGCCCCCCACTGACTGGCCTCTGATGGGGACACATGGTTCTGGGGCCCCATGGCTGCCGGGAGCCCTGCCCCTCACCCTCTGGCCTTGCTGGGCTCTGCTCACAGCATGGCCTCTTAACCAGGCCTCAGTGCCCACGGCCCAGGCCAGTGGGGCCGGGATGCCTTCGCCAGCAGGAAGCCATTGAGCTCTTTGCCAGGGGTCCCCCTCCCAGCCACCCTGTGGCCTGCTTTCCCACCTGTGGCAGGCCAGACGCCCTTGTCCAGCGGTCCCTAGACCTGTCTCCTTCCTCCAAGGTCAGGATCTGAGCCTGCCCCCAGCTCCCCTGCCCCTCCGCACCCCTGACGCCCCCCAGCTCCCCTGCCCCTCCGCACCCCTGACTCCCCCCAGCTCCCCTGCCCCTCCGCACCCCTGACTCCCCCCAGCTCCCCTGCCCCTCCGCACCCCTGACTCCCCCCAGCTCCCCTGCCCCTCCGCACCCCTGACTCCCCCCAGCTCCCCTGCCCCTCCGCACCCCTGACTCCCCCCAGCTCCCCTGCCCCTCCGCACCCCTGACTCCCCCCAGCTCCCCTGCCCCTCCGCACCCCTGACTCCCCCCAGCTCCCCTGCCCCTCCGCACCCCTGACTCCCCCCAGCTCCCCTGCCCCTCCGCACCCCTGACTCCCCCCATCTCCCCTGCCTCTTCACACCCCTGACTCCCCCCCACACCCAGGCACACGGTGGAACGCACTTACAACAGCCCGGTCCAGGTCTTGGTGACCTGGAAGGGCCAGGGTTGAGGCTGCGCGGGGAGGGGTCCCGTGAGGGGGACGGGGCCCGGGACCTGGTTTGGCTCCCAGGACGCTGTCCTGCCAGGCTCCCTGGTCTTCGGACCTAGGTTGCTCTTGGCCTTGAGCCGGCGCTCGCCCGGGCCTGGGCGGCCTCGCTGCACCGGGCTGCCCGCGGGGCCCTGGGCCTCCCGCCCCCACCCCTGGGAACCGGGGGAGCCGCGTCCACTTCCTGCTCCCATTAAACCCTTTGAAGGCCGGGCGAGCGCGGCGGCGGCCGGCGGGCGCTGACTCAGGGCCGCGCCCCGGGACCCCGGGACCCCAGAACGGGCACAGGGAGGGCCTGTGTCGTTCCCGGTACCGGCCCCCCCCCCGCTCGGCCCCCACCGGGAAGGTGGGACGCGGGGCCCGCCCGGGGGGGGCGGTACGAGGGGAGCCCCGCTTCCCCCGCCCGTGGAGCCCGGGCGGCTGGGGGCGGGGGTTCGGGGCTTCCCGGTGGTGAGTCACCGCCGGCGGGGCCGGCTGCGGCGCATTCCCCCGGCGAGGGCGGGCTGCGGCGGGGTGCGGACCCCGAGTCAACGCCACACCCCGCCGGGCCGGGCGGCCGGGGGTCCGGCCGGAGGGGAGTGCGCTGCAGAAGTGGAGGGTCGGCCCGGGCCTCGGGCCTCGCTCGGCCGGGGACGGGGGCGTGGCCCGCGCAGAGCCGAGTGGGCGTGGCTGGCCTGAGAGTGGCCAGCACAGGACCGGGCCTGGCTGGGGGCGGGGCTTGTCTGGGTTGTGGGCGTGGCTCTCCCGGGGGCGTGGCCCCGCTTGGGGCGGGGCGGATATAAGGGGCGCTCCGGGCCGGCGGCATGCAGAGCCGGCTCGGCCCCCACCTCGACCGCCCGCGGGACATGAAGACCCCCGGCGAGGTGCTGCGCGAAGGCGAGCTGGAGAAGCGCAGCGACAGCCTGTTCCAGCTGTGGAAGAAGAAGCGCGGCGTGCTCACCCCCGACCGCCTGCGCCTCTTCCCCGCGGGCCCCGGCGCGCGCCCCAAGGAGCTGCGCTTCCACTCCATCCTCAAGGTGGACTGCGTGGAGCGCACGGGCAAGTACATCTACTTCACCATCGTCACCACCGACCGCAAGGAGATCGACTTCCGCTGCCCGGGCGAGAGCTGCTGGAACGCGGCCATCACGCTGGCGCTCATCGACTTCCAGAACCGCCGCGCGCTGGAGGACTTCCGCGGCCGCCAGGAGCGCGCCGCGCCCGCCGCGCAGCCCGAGTCCCGGGCGGCCCGCGCGCCCTGAGCCCGCGTCGCGGTGAGTCCCGGGGCCGCGGCCTGGGCCCGTGGGGGGGGGGCTGCGGCCTGGGGACACTTCGGGGGCCCTGGCGCCGCGATCGCCCAGCCAGCCTTTGTCCCCAGGGTTGGGGGCCCCGCAGGCTGCGCCCCGCGCCGCCCCGGCACAGCCCTGACCCAGTCCTCTCCTCACAGAAGCACACGCTGGACCGCACGGGCCGCTGCCGGGCAGGAGCCCCGGGGGTGCCCGGCGTGTCGGGGAGCCAGGCGGGCTTCCACCCGCGGACCACGCGAGGACAAGGCGGCGGCCCCGACCTCCCGCGGACCCTCGCCCCGCTGTGCGGGCGCCTTAACTTATTACTGGACTATGTATTTATTTTGTTGTTACGCCGTTCCGTCTTAATATTTTGTTTTTGCATCCTGGTGCCATTCCAAATAAATGTCTCGATATGTGCTTTTTTTACTGAGCAGCTGTGACCGTGAGGTTCCTCCTGGGAGGCCTGGGGGGGGGGGTCACCCCCATCCGGAAGCCAGCTTTGAATGAATGTGTCATTGCCCAGGCCAGGTCCCCGCCTCCCCAGCCCAGGAAGTGCCCTGGGCGCGGCTTGGCTGGCCTCTGCTCCTGGGTGCGGCCGGCAGGGCCGCTGGCTGGAAGTTGGCTCACTGACCCATCCGAGGCCAGCACACCCCCCACCGAGGCACCATGCCGCCTCGCGGGGTGGCGTCCTCAAGTGTCTCCTGCCACACACCACCTGTCCCACAGCTGACCCGAGGCTCTTCAGCGGGCAGCCTGCCGGGGCTCCTGACCCCACCCTGGGCTGCACCCAAGGTGTCTCCGGTCCAGCAGCCTGCCAGTGCTAGCAGGGCAGGGTGGGTCCTGCTTCGGAACAGATGGGGGCTGGCCTGGGTCTCCCCCTGCCAGCCCAGGACGGTGACGTGGTCCAAGAGCTCACCAGACCCCTGCGCTACACCTTGAGACACCTGCGGAGCGGCAGGTGCCTCCTCACCTGGCTCTGACCTCAGGCTGAGCGGGAGTCGGTGGCAGGCAGGCCGGCCTAGCTGTGGCCCTTCCCCCTCCCTGGGTGCTGGGACACCAATTCTCCCCTCCCCCTCTCCAGGGAGCATGCAGCCTTCCCTTGGCCTTCCTGCAGGAGGGGACACCAGCCGGGAGGACAGGGTCTGAATCCTGTCCTCTAATCCCTGACACGTACCTGCAGTGGGGCAGGGGTCCTCCCTGTCCTTCCAGGTATCCCTACTGGATAAGGGACTGTTCCTTTGTCTGGGCACTGTGTTCAGACAGGAGGACATTCTGTGTAAGCCTGTGAAGTCCCTGTGCCGGTGGGGCAGAGGCCCCTCCCAACAGCAGAAAACTGCGGCTGGGGCCCTGAGACCCACACATGCCCCATGGGGGCCTCTCCCACCCCCACCCCGTTCAGGGTGGCCGAGCCTCAGGCCTGGGTCTTAGGTCTGGAGCGAGGTTGGGACTTGGCCGTCTGAGGCCCCTCACCTTCTGCTGGCCGTACCTGGAATTCTGGAATCTGTAGATTCCTATTCCTTAGGAGCTCCTGGAGTGAGAGTGTCGGGGAGCAGGGAAGGGGCTCCAGGGCTTGCCCTTGCACCCACGAATCCCTCCTCCTGCCCAGGTCTGGTGACCAGGGGTGCTTACCCACTGTGAGGGCCTGGGGGAAGTTGGGGTTACCCACTGAGCCCTCAGCTTCTTACCAGGCCTTGCTTCCCTATCTTTTGGTGTGTGGGGAGGTGGGAGGTACTAGGGCTTGAATTCAGGGCCTGGGAACTATTCCTAAGCTTTTTCCACTCAAGGCTGGTTCTCTACCCCTTGATCCACAGCTTCACTTCTGGCTTTTTGGTGATTAATTGGAGATAAGAATCTTGTGGACTTTCCTGCCTGGGCTGGCTTGGAACTGGGATTTCTCATCTGCTGTGTTAGTCAACTCAAGGGCTGGGTCAGTGGTAGGAGACAATGCTAGAGGATCCTGTCCCTGGGGCTCTGCTGCGTCCCCCTAGGGCCTCCAGCCTCGTCCCTCGCGCCCAGGCCTCCCACCATGGACAGGAAAATCTGCAAAAGTCCCAGAGAGTTTATTGTCCTCCCGCGCTTGGGGCAGTGGGTTAGTGGGCTTTGTCCCTGCTCTGGGACACTGGCGTCCTCCAGAGCACCAGGAGAATGAGGGCGTTGACCGCGAACTGCACGTGGCCGAAGACAGGGACTCCGTAGCTGCGGTACAGGAGGCCACCCAAGGTGGGCCCCACCGTGCGGGTGAGCGGCTGCACAGAGGCGCTGAGGCCCAGCATGGTCCCTGGAGAAGCGGAGGCAGTGAGGGCGTGGACGCCGCCCAGCTCTCCACCCTGCTCCTCACCCCCCTGACCCCCCTCGCTCCCCCAGCCACACAAGCCGGGCAGAGGCCCCACACAGGCACTTCACCAAATGACGACCTTAGCCTCCTCTCTATCCACAAAGTTCCTGAGCATAAGAGGAGCCTGGGAATGGGGTCACAGGTCAGGCTGCAGGCCACGCACTCCAGGGCTTGCCAAGAGATACTGTCATACTTGGGCCTCGCTCCCACCCAGGGCAGGCCCGGGTGCCGGGCTCTCCTGTTCTTCTAGTACCTGGGGCCCCTGGAAAGCCAAGGCTGGAGTTGTCCAGCACGGCTCACTGAAAACTGGGGTGGGCACGGCAGGAGCCGCATTCAGGTAGCCAGAGCCGCTCAGTTCTCCACCCGGGTCCCCGCCCAGCTCAGCTCTCATGTGTCATAGCCCAGCTCCCCACTTCCCAGAGGGTCTTCAGTTCTGGGCTTCCATGCTCAGGCCTGAGTCCCGGCCCATGCTCAGTAGCCGCGGGGAACCTTGGGAGTGGCCTCTCCCACTGCCCACATGGCCCACAGACTGTAACAGACAAGGGCAATTACCGCCCCCTCTGTGGTTCAGGTTCCCAGGGGAGCAAGTCCCACGCCTTCCAAGCAGAGGCCAGGGGCCTCCTCCCTGCCGGGCTCCACCCTCTTCCCACCAGGCCTGCAGCCTTCCTCCCTCCTCCCTCCTCCCTCCTCCCTCCCGGCACAGGCTGCCCGCTGTGGGGAGGCCTGCTGTCTTAGACCTCAGGGGCCCCACGCAGCAGCCCCAGAACAGCCCCTCTATGCTGCCTGCCCAGGCAGCGAGATGAAGGGCTGGCTCAGCCTGTTGAGTCTTCAGACTCAAGAAGAAGCCCCAAGGCCTTAGCCCTCAGCCACAGCCCTCCTCCCCCTGGGCAAGCCAGCGTGCACCTAAACCGCATGCCCAGGACAAGGCACAGACAGGAACCTGGTCCACAAAAGGCAAGCTGGGTCCAATCAGGCACCCGTGGCTCGCGCCTGTAATCCTAGCTACTCAGGAGACATCTGAGAATCACAGTTCAAAACCAGCCTGGGCAAAGAAGTCTGACTCTTAACTTGAATTAACCAGCCAAGCGCAGGAAGTGGAGCTGTAGCTCAGGTGGGACCAGCCTTAAGTGAAAAGGCTCAGAAAGCTCAGGGACAGCGCCCAGGCCCTAAATTCAAGCTCTAGCACTGGCATACACACGTGCGCGCACACACACACACACACACACACACACACTCTCTCTCACACAATCAACCTGAGTCTGGTCAGACATGATGAAGGTCTGGGATTCCTGGATTTCACTACCAGTGAGCATTCATTCATGCATTCATTCACTGTGAGCTCAGGAAGCCCTGGACACTAATGCCAGGGAAGGGGGGGGCCAGGCCCCCTGGCTGCTGCCCCCCTCCTCCCTCCATCACGCCTGTCTTCCCAGCTGTCTTCCCACTGGCTCTCCCCAGCCCTTGAAACCCGCCCCTCGCTCAGTGGACCCTCTGTGTTTGGACAGCCATCTTTCCCTCCCTTTCCCAGGAGCCAGCCCATGATCCAAGCCGAGCGGAGTGCCGCCTCCGGAAGGCCTGCTCCCAGCGCCCCTGGCCTGGCCTGGCCGCAGGGCCTGAGGCAGCCGTGCTGCCTGCACCCACTTTCTGCCCGTCTGCGGAAGCATCGCAGCCCCAGGTTCTCACCCCAGCTGCGGGGAGGGAGGCACTGCCCTCAGGCGCCCGTGTGGCCCTCACCTGTGTCTGCGGAGGAGATGGAGTTGGTCAGCATGCTGTCCGTTACCACATTGAGCGTGCACAGGCTGAACACCAGGCCGGGCACCAGAAGGCAGAAGTGGAAGACGCTGGACATCAGAACCTAGCAGAGGCAGCGAAGGGGCCCATGGTGAGCCGGGTCCTGCAGCTCCACACCAGGCCACGCAGGGGCACACCAGGCCACGCCACACAGCTCCACACGGCTCCACGCGGGAGCACACAGGCCATGCCACATGCTCACGCAGGGCCAGGGAGAGGCCCGCCTTCCCCCTCCCTGCCCAGTCTTTCCACGCCTGGATGGGGGCTGCGAGGGCAGAGGCAGGCAGCGGACCCAGCTCCTGGGGCACCAGGGATGGTTCTGGACCCCAGCTCTGCGGGGTAGAGGGGTCTCACCATGCCCAGCCCCACCATGGTGAAGACCAGCACGCTGGCCCGCAGCAAGTTCTCCTCCGAGAAGCGGCGGCTCAGCCGCCCGATGATCAGACCCTGGACCACCTAGGTGAGGAGACAGGCGTGGGGTCAGGGGCTGGACCACGGCCGGCCCCCTCAAGGTGGGACACTCTGCCCAACACCCATCGGCCTCCATAGCCCCTGACCACCGGCACCCTCACCGGCCAGGGCTGGGGCCCGGGCAGAGGCCAGGAGCACCCTAAGATCCCTGGGGGGACAGACACCCCTCCAGAGGGGCGGAGAGCCCACACCAGGGACACGGGCGACAGCAGGGACATGACTCAGCAGGTCAGGCCCCGTCCACAAGCTGCTCCCAGGCCGGGGTGAAGCTCCCTATCTAAGTGTGGGGTAATCAGGAAGTGCCCTCTCCACCAGACAGGAAGTGCCCGGGCCCAAAGCCAGGAGTGGTGCAGCCGCAGGCTGCTGGGGGCAGGGGAGGGGTGGGGCAGCGTGGGCTGGTGGGGGGGAGAGCGGGGAGGGGCAGGGCTAGCTCTACAGAACCTGCCTGGCTACTCTCCTCTAGAAGCCAACTGCTTCTAGCTAAGCCTTCAGTGTCTTTTAAAAAATAGCCAGGTGCTCCTGGCTCACAGCTATCATCCTAGCTACTCAGGAGGCTGAGATGGGAAGATTGCAGTTCAAAGAGAGCCGAGTCAGTTAATTAAGTCCGTGAGTCACTCATTTCCAGTGAACCACCAAAAGCCGGAAGTGGAGCTGTGACTCAAGTGGCAGGGCACCATCCTTGAGCAAAAGAGCCTGAGGACCAGCACAAAAATAACCCTACTCTGTTTGAGCACCTGTGGCTCACACCTGTAAGCCTAACTACTCAGGAGGCTGCTGAGACCTAGCAGATCAAAGTTCAAAGCCAAAGCCAGTCCTGGCAACAAACAAACAAACAAACAAAAAAAACCCACAAAAACCTGGAGCCTTCATCACCAATTAACCAAGCAAGAGTACAAGGCCCTGAGTTCGAACCTCAGTACACACACCAAATAATAAAATATTCTTAGAATTACGTTATCTTGGAGCTGGGAAGATGGCTCAGTGGTAGAGCACTTGCCTTGCATGCGTGAGGCCCTGGGTTCAATTCCTCAGCACCACATAAGCAAAAAGAAAAAAGCCGGAAGTGGTGCTGTGGCTCAAGTGGTAGAGCGCTAAGCCTTGAGCTGAAGAGCTGAGGGACAGTTTCCAGGCCCAGAGTTCAGGCCCCACGACCAGACACAAAAGAAAAGAAAAGAAAAAGAAAAGAAAAGAATTACGTTATCTTAGTTTTTTTTTTTTCCTCTGTCTTTTTTTTTCTTTTTCCAGCTTGCAACTCTACCTCCTGTGCTAAATCTCCAGCCTGGTCTTTTGCTGCTTATTTTGGAGAGGAAGGCTGGCAGATTTTCTGCCCAGGCTAGCTTTGGATTTCCGTCCTCCAGCTCTCAGTCTCCTGAAGGCCTCGGATCACAGGTGTGTGTGAGGTGCTGGGGCCGGCTGTCCCCGTGGTCAGTTCTGGGGAGGTGCCGGCGTCAGGGGTGATGGGAACCGGCCGGTCCATCCGCACTGCGTCTCCACAGCCCACAAACAAAAGGAAATGTCACTTGCCAAGGCCAGGTGGGCCTCTCCCCACAGGCCTCCCGCCCATCCTCCATGCCTTCCCAATGGGCACCTTCCCCTGCGTGTATCTGCCCCTTTACTATCAAGCAGCCCCAGCCTGAGGGGCCCCCTCCTCTACTGAGACCTCCTCCCTACATCAAGTAAGCCAGCAGACCACCCTCCCCCCCAAATTGTCACTGCAGCCTCTTCCTGTCCCCTCAGCCCTGGCCCCAAACACCATCATCACTGGATTGCCACCTTCTGCTGCGCTGGGGGAGGGGCAGGTCTCCCCTATTATGGAGGGTCCTGCTCAGCACCCCTGCAGCTCTGGGCTGCCCCCACCCCCATGTACTCTGAACTGGGCTATTCAGGACCAGCTCTGAAGGATGGCCAAATGACCTGTCCACTATGGGGGGGGTCTTTTCTTTTTTGTGGAGGTCCAGGGTTCTGAGCTCAGGGCCTGGCTGCTCTGGCTGAACATTTTCCCTTAGGGCGGGCACTCTACCTTGTGAACCACACCTCCACTTCTAGCTTTTATGAGAATCTCATAGACCTTCCTGCCTGGGCTTCCTGAGTATCTAGGATTAGAAGCATGAGCCACTGGCGCCTGGCTTCGATGGATCCTTTTCCCCACGGGGGCGTCCCCTCCCAGCTGGCTGCCAAGTGGTGGCCTTCCATGTCCAGTGCCTTCCTGGAGCAGCTATTTTAGCCCCAGGTCTAGGCTGGCCCTGGGCTTAGCACGGGAGCAGATGGTGTGGAGGTGCTGGAATGCCATGCACTTCTGAATTGCTCAGAGCCCTCCCCTGCGGCTCCCACAATAGTCCAGCTGGCCAACGCTCCCGCTGCCTGGGCCTGGGGACACACCACCGCCTGTCTCTGCCACCCCAGGCTCAGATGTCCAGGAAGAGCTGGGTGGGGCAGGAGGGACTGGCTAGGACCGGAAGCCAGGAGGCACAGCTGACCAGAGCTGTGGGGCCAGCTCTCTGTGTCCTTGTCGGCCCCCCGGGGCCTGGTGCTCCGCCTTTCTACCTCGTGGCATTTGCCAAAGACCCCTGGGTGGGCACATAAAGCGAATGAAGGTCAGGAACTCGTTCCAGTCCGGGGCTGGGGGCAGAGGTTGGACCGCTGCCGGCCAGGCCCGCCACCACACGGCAGGCCAGCTCCAGCTCCGGGGTCTGCAGTGCCAACTGAGCACCCACACGGCACCTGCTGCGTGTGGACCAGGTGTGTGGTGTGTGTGTGGATGGGCAGCCAAGGCCCCCCCCCAGCTCCCACTGGGCTGCGCCTTCCTGGGCATTCCTCCTCCGTCAGGCAGATGGTTGGCCACCCGCCTGGGGTCTTTAGGTGGTCTGAATGAGATGGCGCTCAGAGCCAGGGCTGGAGAAGGAGAAGCTGAGAGAGGAAGGCACGGGCAGAGGCCACGGAGCGGAGGATCCCCAGGGCGGGAGTGCTGTTGGGCCAAACTTGGAGGCACCTCTTGACTGAGACCCCCCCCCATTCCCTACCTCCCCGGCAGAGGCCCTGTGTGCCCCACTCACCATCTGGAGGACCCCAAAGAAAGACATGAGGTAGCCGGTCTGCGCGGCCTCCAGCTGGAAGAAGTCCATGGAGATGATGGAGAACATGATCATGAAGAGTCCTGCGTGGAGGGCAGAGGCCGGGCGGCCGGTCAGGGCGACACACATGCTCCAACGCTGCGGGCGCCTCCGCGGCCGGCTGAGGCTGAGAGCCCGCCCCGGGAGCCCGCCCCGGAGGCGGTGGGGCCTGGGCGCCTTCCGCGTGGACAGCGAGCGTCCGAGGCTCCTTCATCTCCCCTCTTAGTGTCTTGGCCTCTGAAGCCAAGGGTGGCTACGGTGGCAGGGGATGGAGGGATCTGGGCACTGTGAGCCTTCGGGCTACAGGGACTGCGATCTGGTGAGGCCAGGGACAGCCTGGGTGACGCCTTCCCTCCCCCCTCCCCCCTGCAGCATAGCACCCCACACCCCCCCTCCCCTCTGAGCCCCCATGGATGGGCGTGCCGGCCTGGCGCAGGTCAGACCTGGTGACGGGGACACAGAGGACACGAGGCGGGCAGAGGGCAGGGGCGGTGCAGGGATTCGGGCCTCCACCCTCAGTGCCAGGAATCGTGGGCCACATGGGGTGCTGCCCAGGTGAACCCACCTGAGGGGAGGCCGGAGATGACCTTGATGAGGAACACGGGCAGCACGCCCGGCAGCAGCAGCAGGCGGGTGATGGCCTTCAGGTCAAACACGCTGGCCTTGGCTCCACCTGGCCGCCCCCACCCCACCCAGGGATGCTGGTCAGAGCACTGGTGGGCTCGGCCTGGCTGTGGGGCCATGGCTGGGGGCGTGGCTCTGCCGCACAAGGGGGCTGGCCATTCGGCAGCCCCCTCCCCCGTGTCCCTGGAAGGCCGCCGCACCGTCCCTCACGCTGGGAGCCCTGGGACAGAGTGCACCTGTCCTCAGGGACCCTGCTGGGCCCGGTGGAGTCAGGGAGGTCCTCAGCCCCAGCCCACGTGGTCAGGACAGCTGCTCTGGATTTGATCACGCTTGTGATCCTAGCTAGTCAGGAAGCTGGGATCTGAGGACGGCAGTTCAAAGTCAGCCTGGGCAGAAAAGTCAGAGACTCTGATCCTCAACTATCAAAGAGCTGAAAAAAGAAGCATGGTTCAAGTGGTAGAGTGCCAGCCTCAGGACAAAAAGAAAATAAGTAAAAGCTTGGCTCAAAACCAACCAACCAGCCAAGCAGAAAAATAAATAAAACAAAACAAAAAGGATCTGGTGCTGGTGGCTACGCCTGTAATTCTGGCTACTTAGAAGACTAAGATCTGAGGATGGCGGTTTGAAGCCTATCCCAGCAGGAAAGTCTGTAAGACTCTTTTCTTTCTTTCTTTCTTTTTGTTGGTCATGGGCTGAACTCTGGGCCTGGGCACTGTCCCTCAGCTCTTCAGCTCATGGCGAGCACTCTACCACTTGAGCTACAGTGCCACTTCCAACTTTTTTCTGCTTATGTGGTGCTGAGGAATCGAATCTAGGGCCTCATGCATGCGAGGCAAGTACTCTACCACTGAGCCAAATTCCCAGCCCGTCTGTAAGACTCTTATCTCTGATTACATTCTCTCTCTCTCTCTCTCTCCACAGAGCTGTGACTCAGGTAGTAAAGCCCCCTGAAGAGACAAAGCTCAGGGACAGCGCCCAGGCCCTGAGCTCACGCTCCATCACTGACACAAACAACTCAACAACAACCCAAACAAACAAAAAGGCCAGAAGGCAGCAACTGTCAGGAGGCGTGCCTGACCCCTGGCCACTTTCACCTGCTGTGTCTCAGGCCTGTGCTGGGCTTGGCTGCCCCCTCAGGCACTGTCCCTGGTGACGAGAGGCAAATCTCCATCTCAGCCCCTGGGCAGAGGCCTGGGGTCCTGCCATGTGCCAGGCACTCGGGCTGGGGCTGGGGGCCTCCCTGAGAAGACCTGAGCAGGAGCCGAGCTGGCTCTGCCTTGGGGACCCCAGGCGTATGAGGCTCACTGGCCAGCTGGAGATTTGGAGCCCTGAGAACTGCGTGCCCCACCGCACCTTGCCACCCCTGTCTCCCCAGGCCCACTTGTCCAGGCCCCACTCCCAGCGCCGCTCCTGGGGAGTCCGTAGCCAAGAGGGGCTCAAGAGAGAAGTGGCTCCCAGATCTCTTGTGTGTCCCCAAAGTCACCGGGCCCTGGCTTGGCCAGGAGGGGCTCACCTGGAGGCGGGGCCTGTGCCTTCTTGGTGGTGCTGGGAATGCAGGCCAGGCTGAGGACGGCTCCTAGGAGGTTGGCCACCAGGGCCACCACGATGGGACAAAGAATCCTGGGGACACAACCCGGGTTGTGGTGTGTGGCTTGTAGCCCCACAGACACACATACCACAAACAGTCGGGGACACACATGTTCACATACGTGCACACAGCGCACACAGGCCCACACGTGTGTGCACGTGGACATCACGCTTTCGCCAGAACTCTGGTGGGAACCCACGGGCAGGACAGGGCTGGGGAAGCAGCAGGAGCAGCCTGGTCCCTCGGCGGGCACGACAGTCACCAGGTCAGTTCAGGCCGGCGTGTCCCATCGGCCCCTCCTCCGCAGCTCTGGCCTCCCCCCCACTCCGCCCCCCGCCCAAGGCTCTTGTGTTTGGGCTCCCCACAAATGGGCCTTCCACTGGCCAGTGGGCAGAGAAGGTTTGGGCACTGCACCCCAGAGTGAGGCCTCTTGGGGCCCCAGGGGGCGGGTGTGGAGGGCTGTCCGGCCCTGGTGGCAGGCCCCAGAGAGAAAGGCCTTTCTTCTGGCCTCTGAGGCCCAAATGTCCCTGCCGGGGCTGACCAGGCGGAGACAAAACCCGCTTTCTTTGCCAGCTGGCCCGGAAGCGCCCAGAGCAAAGGCCCACGCCATGGCTATTTTGGGAGCCGATGACAAGCGAGGGTGGGTGGCAGGGCGCCAAGCCCCCTCCCCTGGGACCCCGAGGGATCCGGAGCGAGTGGGGACCGGTCAGCCAAAGACCAGCGCACTCAGGGACCCGGGGCCCTGGAGGCGTCTTCTCTCCCCCACGCGGCTCTGTCCGTCTCCCCCAGAACCAGACGCCCAAAGGGAAACGGGAATAGGAAGGAAATTCCTCAGGGCAGCTGCCACCCTGGGGCCTGTGCCCCGGACTTCCTCCCAAGAAGTCTCTCTAGCTCAGAGCCTCCTCTGAGACAGCATGGCGTTCCTGGGGGTGCGGGTTGGGCCTCTCAGCCCCCCCCCCATTTAGCGCCCCCTCCCTGGGAACCTCCCAGGTACAGGCAGTACAAGGGCATTTGTCTTTGTCCCTTATTTGTCCCTTCCTCCCTTCCCTCCCTTGTACCCTGAGATAACAGGTCACCTGCTGTCCTTCGTGGGTACCAGTGACCGGTGTGACAGCCCCGAGCCTGGTCACTGGATCTGAGGCCTGGGGCTGGGGGGGAGGGAGGGGAGGCCACCTGCCCCACCTGCCACTGCACCCTGCCTGGACCATGTCGGAACACAAAAGTCTGAGGAGTGTCCCCCGACAGCCTCGGAGCCCCGTGACCCAGCACAGCCCTGAGCGGCCTTCAAACCAACCAGCAGCCCCTCCCTGCCCACAGCCTCCCCTTGCTGGCCCCTGTCCGTGCGCCTGTCCCCGGGGCCAGCCCCCCTCAGCCTCTCCTGTCTGTTCAGGTGCCCCGAACACCAGCGTCCACCCGCTCTTACCCCGAGGCTGCGTCCTGCCCGGCGCTCCATGCTAGTGCCCGGGAGCTGCCCGGTGGGCAGGCTGCCCTGCGGGCCCTCGAGTCTCTTTGTTCCAGACAGTTGATGAGACACGGGGGAGGGGGCTCCTGGGAGCAGAGGCTGCAGGCTCAGTGTCACACTGGCCACTTGGTACCCAGGAGGGACAGCAGGTGATCTCAGAGGACAGCATGACCTCCAGGGGCTGTGGCCTACCCTCCTCCCATCCAGATCTCAGATCCTCTAGGGGTCTGGCGGCATCTGTTCAAATCTTGGCCACGCACGGTGGACACAGCCCTCTGGAGAATCGGGGATCCTGGGTTGCAAAGTCTTGGGGGAGTTTTGGGACTGGCTGGGTGGAAGGCTGGGCTGGCCCTCCCCACAGTACCCCTCCACCAGGTGGAAGGTGTCTTCCAGGACCCTGGGAGCGGCCGGGGCGGCCAGGATTTGCCTGAGGGCCACGCGCTTCCCATCACAGTTCACCCAGATCTACACGTAGGGTTTAATTCCACATCACCGGGGCTGCTCACTGGTCCTCAGCACTGAACGTGGATAGCTTCCAGTGGCGCACTGAACTCCCGGCCCCTCCGCTCCCCGCCCAGCCCCGCCCTCCCAGCTTCGCTGACCCCACCGGCTCGCTCTCACCCTAGCCCTTTGCTGCTTTCTGCACTCTGCCAGCGTGTCCTGCCCACGGGCCGTGACCGGTGGACACGCGCCCTTCTTTGAGCGTGCTGCAGGAATCTGCACACCACAGGCAGGGCCTGTGAAGCCCCACGCTGTGCCTAGACGGTGGTCAGTTACACAGCAGGCCTCCAGGGGCTGCAGCGGGGTCTGGCAGGCCTGTATGCCTAGGGCCTCTGCCCATCCCCGGGCTGTGGGGCTCTGGGCTGGGGCCACAAGCCAGGCGCCGCCTCCTGTGCTCTGCCCGGAGCTCTCTAGGGACACCAGAACTCTTGGCTGGGACTCCGGGCTGGGCCAAACCAGTTCTACCAGCGTCCACCCCCTGCAGCCCCAACGACAAGTCCACTTCCTCCTCCCACCTGCCTCCTGGCCGTGGGGGTCGGCACGCTGGGATTTTTCATGGGGACAGCACACGTGGGCCGGGCAGAGGGGCAGAGGCTAGGGAGACCCCATACTAGGCTTTGGTTTGAATCCAGGAAGGGGAAGGAAGGCTGGGTGTGGGCCTGTGGGATGTCAGGAGTAGGGGCAGGTTGAGAGTCACAAGCTGCCTGGCCAGGGACAGAGGAGTGCTGGCCCCGACCTCCCTGGTGGTGTAGGGGTCACCACCCAGGCAAGCATAAGGGGCACGGGCTGGGTGCACTGCGGTGGGCGGCGAGGCTTCGGTATCACGGGCTCACCTGTCAGCCGAGGTCCCCAAAGCCCCTCCCCTCTCACTACTGGGGGCAGCCACCACGCAGGACGGCCGGTCAGCTGTGGCCACCAAGCCTCCTGGAGTACCCCTGCATCTTACAGGTAAACACCCCGAGGGAGAGCCTTCCACAGCCCCTTGCCACCTGCCTCAGTTTCCCCACCCACCAAAGAAAACACTCGGCATCTATAAGTGTTGAGGTTCCAGACAATCCAGAGCCTGAGATCTCCGGATGAAAGGATGCAGGAAAAGGAATGGAATGCTCTGGATGGTGTGGCAGGGGGAAAGGGAAGTGAATCATGTCTTCTGGGTCAGTCTCTGGGATGCAAAAAGGCAGGTGGAGATGGGCGAGGCCATGTGTGGGCTGGCAGGAGGTCTGTGTGTGTCCGCTCTGGCCCCACCAGAGTTCCTCAGCACCCATGGGTGCCAGGCAGCCCGCAGCCCTGGGTGCGTTCCACAGCCAGAGAGCCTGGTGACGTGAGACAATGTCTCCTTGCCCTTGGCAGCAGTCTCTGGGCCTCAGGCGACTGTGTCCCTGTGAGCCGACTGAATCCTGGGGCCCCTCCCCCCGCTGCCCATGCCTGCTAGTGCCCCTCCCCCCTGCACCCTCTCCAGGCCCCTTCTCTCTCCTCCCCTTGGAGGGCTGGCACACAATCCAGCCCGTGCCCTCAACTTCCCCATCATCTGCCCTCCCACAGCCAGCCAAGCCCCACATCTGCCTCCCTCCTGGCTGTCACAACTCAACCGCCAGGCCTGGCCCGGCCCTCCACGAGCCACTCAGCCCTTACTCCTTTCTCCTCCTAAATACAACTCATCCTAGCCGGGCACTGGTGGCTTATGTCTAATCATAGCTACTCAGGAAGCTGAGATCCAGAGGATTGAAGGTGGAGGCCAGTCCAGGAAGAAAAGTCCATGAGACATCTTCAAAATAACCAGCAAAAAGCAGGAGTGTAGGTATAGCTCAAGTGGCAAAGTACCAGCCAAGTAAGTAAGCCCAGCAAGCAAGAAACCCTAGTCCCACCGAAGGAGGAGGAGGGGGAGGAGGAGGAGGGAGAGAAGAGGGAGGAGAAGGAAGAGGAGGGGAGGGAAGGAGAAAGAGGAAGGGGATAAGGAGGAGGAGAAGAGGAGGCGGGGAGGAGGAAGAGGAGGAGGGGGAGGGGAGGGGAAGGACCCTCCGTTCCATCCGCGCTGGGTGGACAGTTATGCTCTTCTCCGCTGCTGCTGGTGTGGACGGCTGGGTCTCCCGCAGCCCAGCCCGGGCGCTGGTGCCCCCTGGTGGCTGCCCGCCCCGCGCCCCGCCCCGCGCCCCGCCCCTCCCCGCGCCCCGCCCCTCCCCGCGCCCCGCCCCTCCCCGCGCCCCGCCCCTCCCTGCGCCCCGCCCCGCCCCTCCCTGCGCCCCGCCCCGCCCCTCCCTGCGCCCCGCCCCGCCCCGCCCCTCCCTGCGCCCCGCCCGCCCCGCCCGGCCCCTCCATGCGCCCCACCCCTCCCTGCGCCCCGCCTCGCCCCGCCCCGCCCCGCCCCGCGGGCGCCCGGGCGGCACCCAGCCAGCCCGGCAAGCCCGGGTCAGGGAAGGTGGGCCGAGGCCGAAGGCGGGGCGGAGCGGAGCCCGCGCCCGGGACCCTCGGAGGCCGCCGGTCCACTCACCCGAACGCGGTGCTCAGGGTCCCGCCGAGCAGGGAGCCGAGGATGATGCCCACGCCGAAGCAGAGGCCCAGGCGGCCCAGGGCCTCGGGCCGCTCCGCGGGCGCAGTCAGGTCTGTGACCACCATTTGCGCGGCTGGGGGCGGACGGGGCCTGAGCCACGGGGCTGAGCCACAGGCGCCCCTCAGACCCCCCCTCCCACCCCCCCGGCTCTGGCCTGCGCCCCACGCGACCTCCCACCCACATCGGCTCCAGGCCACACCCCCAGACCTCCCACCACATCAGCCCCAGGCCACGCCCCCAGACCTCCCACCACATCAGCCCCAGGCCACGCCCCCAGACCGCCCACCACATCAGCCCCAGGCCACGCCCCCAGGCCTCCCACCCAGATCTGCCCCAGGCCGTGCCCCCAGACCTTCCACCACATCAGCCCCAGGCCACGCCCCCAGACCTTCCACATCAGCCCCAGGCCACGCCCCCAGACCTCCCACCACATCAGCCCCAGGCCACGCCCCCAGACCTTCCACCACATCAGCCCCAGGCCACGCCCCCAGACCTCCCACCACATCAGCCCCAGGCCACGACCCCAGGCCTCCCACCCAGATCTGCCCCAGGCCATGCCCCCAGACCTCTCACCACATCAGCCCCCAGGCCACGCCCCCAGACCTCCCACCCCATCAGCCCCAGGCCACTCCCCCAGACCACCCACCACATCAGCCCCAGGCCACGCCCCCAGGCCTCCCACCCCATCAGCCCCAGGCCACGCCCCCAGACCTCCCACCACATCAGCCCCAGGCCACACCCCACACCACCTCCCACCCAGATCTGCCCCAGGCCACGCCCCACACGACCTCCCACCCACATCTGCCCCAGGCCACGCCCCACACGACCTCCCACCCACATCTGCCCCAGGCCACTCCCGGGGCGACCCTCTCCACCCATGTTCTAGCCTGTGGACTCCTGCCCCCTCTTCTCCGAGACTCGCCCCTTTTAGAAGTCCATTCCCCATCGCCCTGCCTCTCCCAGGCCCCGCCCCTCTTACCCAGGACCCTCCCCCGCCATCAAGGCCCCGCCCAGGCCCCGCCCCTCACCAGGGCCCTCCCCTCCCACCAGGCCCCTCCCCTCCCACATCCAGCCCCCGCCCCTCATCAGGCCCCTCCCCTCACCCAGGCCCCGCCCCTCCCACATCCAGGCCCCGCCCCTCACCCAGGCCCCGCCCAGCCCTCCGCGGGCCGCCCCGCCCCTACCTGGGAGGGCGTGCATGAACACCGAGGGCAGGCGCGAGGCGAAGAGCAGCGGGACGCCGGGCAGGGCGGGCACGCAGGCGGCCGCCAGGAGCAGGTAGAGCGCGGAGGCGGCCAGGAAGGAGAGGGACAGCGCCGCCCGCGCCCCGCGCTGGTCCGCGAACCTGGGGCGGGGGCCGGGTCAGCGGCGGCGCCGCGCCTCCCCTCCCTGCCGCCCGCCCCGGCTCCCCGCCTCCGGGCCCCCTTTCCCCACTGTCCGGGCCGTGCGCCAGGGTGTCCGGCCGGAGCCCCCTGCTCCTTGGTGGCCCTTGTGTCCCCCGTACCTGCCGAACACGGGCCCCCCCAGCAGCTGGAGCACCCCGAAGGTCGTCTGCAGGTAGCCGAAGCTGACCGAGTCCAGGCCCAGCGACCGAGACAGGTACTGAAACACATTTGGGGCCTGGGAGGCGGCCGGGAGCCCGGGTCCCTCGCCGACCCGGGGGGGGGGGGGGGAGGAGCGGCCAGGGGCCGGGGCTGGCCGCGGAGGCCCCTCCCAGCAGGCCGCAGGCCGCTGTCCCCCCCGGGGCGCCCAGCTCCGCTGCCCACCGCTGTCTCCTCCCCCGGGGTGCCCAGCTCCACTGCCCACCGCTCTGCCCTCCCCCGGGGCGCCCAGCTCCGCTGCCCACCGCTCTGCCCTCCCCTGGGGCGCCCAGCATAGCTGCCCACTGCTGTCCCCTCCTCCCCCGGGGTGCCCAGCTCCACTGCCCACCGCTCTGCCCTCCCCCCGGGGTGCCCAGCTCCACTGCCCACTGCTGTCCCCCCCCTCCCCCCGGGCGCCCAGCTCCGCTGCCCACCGCTCTGCCCTCCCCTGGGGCGCCCAGCATAGCTGCCCACTGCTGTCCCCTCCTCCCCCGGGGTGCCCAGCTCCACTGCCCACCGCTCTGCCCTCCCCCCGGGGTGCCCAGCTCCACTGCCCACTGCTGTCCCCCCCTCCCCCCGGGGTGCCCAGCTCCACTGCCCACCGCTCTGCCCTCCCCCCGGGGTGCCCAGCTCCGCTGCCCACCGCTCTGCCCTCCCCCCGGGATGCCCATCTCTGCTGCCCACCGCTGTCTCCTCCCCCCGGGATGCCCATCTCTGCTGCCCACCGCTGTCTCCTCCCCCCGGGATGCCCAGCTCCGCTGCCCACCGCTCTGCCCTCCCCCCAGGATGCCCAGCTCCACTGCCCACCGCTCTGCCCTCCCCCCGGGATGCCCAGCTCCGCTGCCCACCACTCTGCCCTCCCCCGGGATGCCCAGCTCCGCTGCCCACCGCTCTGCCCTCCCCCCGGGATGCCCAGCTCCACTGCCCACTGCTGTCTCCTCCCCCCGGGACGCCCAGCTCCACTGCCCACCGCTCTGCCCTCCCCCGGGGCGCCCAGCTCCACTGCCCACCGCTCTGCCCTCCCCCCGGGATGCCCAGCTCTGCTGCCCACTGCTGTCCCCCCCCTCCCCCAGGGTGCCCAGCTCTGCTACCCACCGCTCTGCCCTCCCTCCGGGATGCCCAGATCCGCTGCCCACAGCTGTCCCCCCCTCCCCCGGGGATGCCCAGCTCCACTGCCCACCGCTCTGCCCTCCCCCGGGGTGCCCAGCTCCGCTGCCCACCGCTCTGCCCTCCCCCGGGGATGCCCAGCTCCACTGCCCACCACTCTGCCCTCCCTCCGGGGTGCCCAGCTCCGCTGCCCACCGCTCTGCCCTCCCCCGGGGCGCCCAGCATAGCTGCCCACCGCTCTGCCCTCCCCCGGGGTGCCCAGCTCCACTGCCCACCGCTCTGCCCTCTCTCCCCCGAGTGCCAGCTCCACTGCCCACCACTGTCTCCCCCCCGCCCCCCCGCCCGTGCACAGGCTCCATCCACTCAGAGCCTCGTGGAGTTTGGAGCATGGGACCTGTCAGCCAGAGACTGTCCCTGGGGACATGCTCTGTGACCCACGCCCCAGTCCACAGGGGGGAATTGGGCTCCTACTGTCCCTCTGGTGACCCCGAGGACTCTTGGACTCCAGTTCCTCCTCCTATCCTGCCCTGCATTTCTGACTGTAAGACTTTCCCAAGTCCAACTTCTCCCTCCAATTTCTTTCCTTCCTTCCTTCCTTCCTTCCTTCCTTCCTTCCTTCCTTCCTTCCTTCCTTCCTTCCTTCCTTCCTTCCTTCCTTCCTTCCTTCCCTCCCTCCCTCCTTCCCTCCCTCCCTCTCTCCCTCCCTCCCTCTCTCCCTCTCTCTTTCTTTCTTTCTTTCTTCCCCTCCTTTCCTTTTCCTTTTCCTTTTCCTGGTACTTGAACTCAGGCTTGAGCCCTGTACCTGAGCTTTTTTTTTTTTTTTAAGTAGTGGGGCTTGAACTCTGGGCCTGGGCGCTGTCCCTCAGCTCCTCAGCTCAAGGCAAGTGCTCTACCACTTGAGCCACAGCACTGCTTTTAGTTTACTGGTGGTTAATTGGAGATAAGAGCCTCATGGACTTTCCTGCCTGGGCTGGCTTTGAACTGTGATCCTCAGATCTCAGCCTCTGGTGTAGCTAGGATTACAGGCCAGAGCTGCTGGCTCAAGGTTATCACTCTACCACTTGAGCCACAGCTCCACTTCTGTCTTTTATTTTTTGTTTTTGGTAGTTAATTGGAGATAAAGAGTCTCACTGACTTTCCTAGCCTGGCTGGCTTTGAATCATGAGCCTCAGATTTCAGCCTCCTGAGAAGCTAGGGGTTAAAAGTGAGCCACCGTTGCCGGCTCCTTGGGGAGCTCCTCCAACTTGCTGTGGTTACTTCTGTCTTCCTCCTCCTCCTCTGCCTCCCCTCCTCTCTTTCTTCTCCACTCCAGCCACCACCCGTGGGGCTCTGGATTGGTACGTGGCAGGGGGTCTCCCCCAGCCCTGCCTCTCGCAACCCCTCCCTTCTCACGAGGCTCCGTGGTCAGCTCCAGTGGCACCTGCCCCGTGGCTGCCTGCTTTCCTCTGTCCTGGGCCCTGTCCCTCAGCAGCCATCTCTGCCTGTGCTCTTGCTCCCCTGATCCTTGGCCTCCCTCCTTCGGAGAAGCCCATTGGTATCCGAGACCCTGAGCCACGACCCCAGCACGCCCCTCCCCAGGGCTCCACCACGGCCAGGCTCTCTCGAACCCACCCTCTCCAACACGGGCTTCTTTGTCGCCCACTCTCCACTGCCAAGGCTTTGTCCTGGCCAGGCGCGGGATCCCTGCCCCTTCTATCAGGCTGCACCCCGCGGGCAGGCCGGGGATCACAGCCGCCTCTGTGCCCCGCAGTCCCCGCCGTCCACTGCTCTCAGAGCTGGCCGGATGTGGGTACACTCCTGGTCTCCATTCACCCCTGTCCGTCTGCACCGACCCCCTCCCCCAGGACCTTGGCCGGGGAGCGCAGCCTTCGCCTTTGCTCCTGGCCTTTGCAGCGACGCCCTCTGCTGCTTCCCTCACGCCGCTCTCCGTGATCTTCCTGGCTCTCAGTGCCCCCGCTGCTCTCTCCCGAGGCGGTGAGGCTCACCCTCGGCGCACGCACTGCTGCCCGTCCATCACCACCCCTCCCCTAACACACATGGCTGCCAGCTCTGGGGTGCCGGTGGTTCAGGGCAGGTGCTGCCCTGCTGTTTCCCCGTCGCGGACTGGGGTGTCTCACTGAGCTCCGCTCAGCATGGCTGGCCCCACAGAGAAGCAGAAAGCTAGCGGCGGCCCCAGGCGGCTCTGGGGCTCAAGAGCACTCTGCTGACCCTGGGAGGGAGGGGCCACCCTTGTCCTTTCATATCAGGAAGCCAGGACCTGCCCAAGCGGCTGGGGGAGGTGTGAGGCGGGCACCGGAGCCAGCCCTGGGCTCAGGGAGGGGCCCAGGGCTAGAAGTGCCTGCCGTGCCTTGGGGGTGACAAAGGCCAGTGCTAACTCAGCCCCCATCCCCAGGCCAGGGGTGAGGGCAGCAGGCTCTGGGCCCTGCCATGTTCCTGGGGCCAGAAATGGGGGAGGGAGGGCTGGGCTTTGGTGATGTGTGACTTTGTTCCCAGTGTCCTTGGGCCTCCAACTTGGGGGCTAAGGAAAGGGGGAACAAGGGTCAGTCAGGACCAGCATTGGCCCTGGAGCCCCAGTTTTGGCCTGCTGGCACACTGAGGGAGTGGATCACACTCTGAGTGGACCTCAAGCCCAGCGTGGAGCCAACGCAGCTCCTCAACCGCTAGCCTGGTCTCCAAGTATCTCCAGAGCATCTGAGTGTCTCTGAGCGTCTCCACTTTTCTTTGGTTTTGTGCCTGTCCTGGGGCTTGAAGTCAGGGCCCGGGAGCTGTCCTTGAGCTTTTGTACTCAGGGCTGGTGCTCTACCATGCGAACCATAGCCACACATCTGGCTTTTTGCTGGTTCATTGGAGATAAGCGTCTCATAAAGTTTCCTGCCTGGGTTGACTTCAAACCACGGCCCTCAGAGCTGGCCTCCCGGATAACTAGTGCGATGGGTGTGAGCCACCGGTGCGCGGCTTCCAGGAGACTTTGAAGTGTCTGGCGGCCAAGGCCATGCATGCATGGCTCCCTCCAGACGGCACAGAAAGGAGTCTGGGGGGGGGGGGGGCTTCTCCAATTCTTCCAACTCCCTTGTTACCACGGGGGTGGGGGGGTGGGGGGGGAAGGGGCCTGGCCCCACTTCCTCCAGCCCGGGCACAGACGGCAGCCGGGGATCAGGGAAGACCGGGTGTGTGTGTGGGGGGGTGGGGTGGGGCTACTCACTGGCAGGACGGAGAACTGCATGAAGAGCGTGGTGAGCTCCAGGGTGGTGAGCACGTAGGTGAGCCGCATGACCCAGCGCTGGCCCCCGGCGGCCGGGCCCGCGGGCATGTTGGCCGGGCGCTGGCGGCGGGGAGTTCTGGGAGGGGGAGCGGCAGCCGGCTCAGCCTGGGAGAGGGAAAGGGGCGAAGGTCCTGTTGATCCGGGCGGTGCTGAGTCACCTGGCTGGCAGCGGGGCCTGCAGGGGAGAGGGCGGCTGCGGGCTGCGCCTCGGAGAACCGGGCGCCCCCCGCCCCCCGACGACTCCTGGCGTGGGGCACGCGCCTCCCGAGGGGGGCGGGGTGGGGCAGGTGCCCGCCAGCCGGTGCCAGGCTCAGGGGCAGCCCGGCCCGTGCAGGGCAGGCTCAAGGCCCGGGCTGCCGGGTGCCCCAGAGGGGCGCCCGTGCCTGTGCCGGCGCCGGGGTGCGGGCCGGGCCCGGGCCCGGGCAGGACGGCCCCTGCACCGCGGTCACGGGCGGTGCGGCCGCCCCGCACGCACGTCTGGGCACCTGGCGGACGAAGCGCGCTCGACGCGGCGCGAGGTCGGGACTCGCCGGTGTGACTCGGGTACCGGGTACCGCCGGGCGAGTCTGGGCTCCGCTCCCGGTGGGTGAGCCCTCGGTCCCGGGTGTCTCGGGGACACCGGTGCTTCCGGGGCGACCCGAGGAGCTCCGCCCGCCCCGCCCCGCCCCGCCCCGCCCCTCGCCGCGCAGACCCGCCCACCCCGCGGCCCGGCCGCGCCAGGCCACGCCCCCACGGGCGGCCTGACACGCCCCAGCGCGCTCATTGGCCTAGTTGGCAAGTCCCCTGTACGCTCATTGGCCGGAATGAACACACCCCCAGGACGCCCCGCCCACGGCCGTGCCAGCCAGACGACCGCGGCTCCCGGGCGCCGCTTTGCGGGAGACCCGCGCCTTGCAGCCTTTCTCCTGTCCTGGGCCGCGGGAAGGAACCGACCTGGGCAGCAGTGGGCATTCATTTCGGGTTGAGGGAGGGGATGGGGGAGAGGAGCAGAGGCAGAGCCTGGGCCGGGAGGGAGAAGGGGAGACTGGGGAGGGGTAGGGGGGTCTTGTCTGTCTGTGCCCAGGCATGGGCAGGTTGAGGGTTTCTGGAAACATCCCGATCACCACCTTCCTGAGCAGACCCGGGAGCTGCGGGGGGCTGCTGGGATGCCAGCTGTCCCTCACACCACCTGCGTGCCAGGGTCACACGCTGGCACGGCTCACAGACCTGTAGCCTCAGCAGCACACCCTGTCTGGACTCACTTTGTCCAGGCCTGGCACCATCCACCCTTCAATCCTCTCCAGACAGCCTGGTCAGGTGACTGCGACACAGGCCCTACCTCCTGCCACAGGCCGGAATCAGAGCCAGAATTCCTGCTGCCCCACGTGAAGCTCAGCCTGGCAGGCGGCAGAGACAGGTGGGCAGAGGAGCCAAGGCCGGGCCGGGCAGACACGGGGGCGGCCAGTGAGCCAGATACAAAGCACGCCAGTGAGGAGCAGAGGCAGGACCCCTGGAGGTCCCCAGGAAGCGGGGTGCTCTTCACAGGTGTGTGTCCTGTGCTTGAGGAGTTCCAGCGTGAACAGGGCGCACAGGGGAGCAAGGTGGAGTCAGGACTGACCCCGGGGCTTCCACAGGGCTCCCTGGAAGGGGGCAGGAAAGGCTGGCCTGGGGGAGGGGATGTGGCCTGAGGAAACAATCTGGGGGGGGGTTGAGATTCAGGACCCTTGGGGGAGGAGTGGAATCCATAGGGGCTCCATGGCTGGGATGAAGGCGTGTCCCCAGGAATTTCTAGAACATACCACCACCAAAGGCAAGGGCTGGCTCCGGGGCCTGGCTGTTTCTCATGGACCTGAAGGAAGGTGACAACCACCCTGGTCTCCTGGGTTCCCAGGGCATTGCCAGGAGTGTTCAAGGCAGGGAGTGGTGGGGGAGTGGTGGGGAGAGGCTGGGGGAGGGGAGGGGCCTTCTGAAGGCCCTCTGAGACACAGCCTAGGCAGGAAGGGACAAGTGCACCTTGTAGAAGTAATCCTGGCTTTTGTATTTGTCCTGAAGTGGCTGGGTGAGGGTGGGGAAGCTTCCTGGTTTCCAGGGAGTGAGGGAAAATTGCCCTTCAGATTAGAGGAGGAAATGAAGCCCAGGGAACCTTCAGAGGAAGCAGCCGTGATTAGGGGTGAGGGGTCCCCCTGCTCTCTAGGCCGTTCAGCAAGCTCTTGTCTGCCCCAGGAGAGACTTGGGGGCAGCTCTGCCCAGGGCTGATTTTAGGAGGGGCGGCCTGGGGGAGGCTCTTTAGTGGAGGCACCATCTTAGCAGGGTCTGGTGAGGAACTCAGACCAGGAGTGGGAAGGGCATTCCAGGCGGGGGGGGGGGGGGGGGAGAAGGGGGAGGGGGCACAGCGTGGCAGAGGCTTAGAGGTGAGCACAGGGAGTGTGAAGGCCAGGCGTCTGCGGTGTGGTGAGGGGGCAGAAGCCCCTCTGGATGAGGGGTGGCCCAGCCAGGCTGGGAACAGGGGGACGTGGCCAGATGTCCTGGGGCGTGGGGGTGGGGGCTGGCTGGGACTGCTCTACACTGGATCCCGAGCGTTGTGAAGACTAGCAGGCCTTGTACACCCTGCTTTCCCGGGGCTAATTGAACCCCACAACTATTCAGGGCCTGCGGTGTGTGTGCAGCTCTGTGTGCGGTACCAGATCCCCATTTGTCGCCTGGATGAAGGTGTCCGGGGGGCAGCCAGTTCTCACCAGTGAGGCTGCCAAGCCTCTCTGCTCTGGTGTGGGTCTCTGGCTTCTGCTCCAGGTGCCGTGGGGCTCAGCCTGCCTTGTGGGCTCAGCTGGTGAAGGGCAGCGCAGGCCCTGGCTGTGGCCAGGTGACAGGGGCAACAGGGTGCAGCTCGGGTGGCAACCAGAGAGGGAGGCATCTGCCTGGGCTGGCCTTGACTCATGATCCTCAGATCCTCAGCCTCCTGAGGAGCTAGGATTACAGGCGTGGGCCCCTGCATCCCAGGGGGAGTGATTTCTGAGACCTGTAGTGCCCTTGGGCGCTGGTTACAGCTGCTCAGCCTCAGGGTGGCCAGTGTCACCCCTAGTTTGTTCTGTCCTCACTGGCTGTCATTTAGCAAATCAAAGTGCCCTTAGAGGCAGTCTAGCCCTGAGCCCTGCCACTTGGTGCCAACGGGGATGGCTCTATCTATGCCTTGTCTTCCAGTCCAGAACTTTCTCTTGCTTGTAGATCCTTTCCACCTGCATGGCTGAGATCAAGGGCTGCTACTGTGAAGACTGTGAAGACTGTGAACACTGTGAAGATGGGCCCTGTCCAGCCAGGCACAAGCACCGCGCCTCCTGCAGTCTTGGCTTCTTTCTCTCCTACCTACCTGCTTGGATAGCCTGAAAACCCAGCACCCTGGGGCCCCAGGGAGATGCTGGCTGAATGACAGACAGACTGACCACGGCCGACCGACCGACAGACACCTACTCCCTGCCTGGGAGGGCTGAGAGCATTTGCACGTGGGCTCCTTGCATGAGCCCTGACAGGTGGTGTTGCCAGCAGCTGCCAGGCGGGGTGGGACCCACCTAGGCTCTGCATGTGTGCACAGAAGCAAGGAAATTGGCCGGGCTCAAGTGCTGACCCAGGGGCTGAGTGAAGGGGGTCTTGGGGACCCCTGAGCTTGGCTGGGGGACTGACCCGTTGCAGCTGGGCAGCTTTTCCCTGGCCTGACTGTTGGTGAGGTGCTGCGGGGTGAAGGCTCTGCTGGAGTTGGCGACGCCCAGGGTCCGTGGCCTGCGCCTCGAGGCCACGTCCGCTTTGCACTGTGACAGAGAGGGAGAGGATTTCTGTGAGAGGATCTCACCCCCGGTTCGGGGAGTCGGTAAGGAGGCGCAGAACTCATCACTGGGTGGGCAGGGGGGCTTGCTGCTCAGGCCGTTCCGAGACTCATCCGGGGCCTCACAGATGAAGAAGCAGAGGCACAGAGAGAGGAAGCCGTCGCTCAAGGACACACAGCCAGGAAGAGGTAATGTCTCTGCCCCGACGCCAGAGCTTCCTCTGGGTGAGCGTGGCAGGGTGTCTGTGATGCCTTTCACACGGACAGACTGCCGGGCACTGGTGGTGCAAGCCCGTCATCCTAGCTACTCAGGAGGCTGAGATCTGGGGAGGCTGAGATCTGAGGACTCTGCACAGCAGTGTCCGAGCCGGTTTTGGCGGCCACTGGCTCTGTGTGTCCACAGCCAGCCCGTGCCCCCGCCCCAGCCACTCTGGCGCTCCACACTGCTGATGGGTTACACGGGGAAGGAGCCCCATCTTAGACTTGAGGGGACTCAGGGCCACAGCAGCAAAGCCCCACAGCTCAGAGATGCAAAGAGCTGCGGCTCTGCTCCCTGCAGTGCCTCTGTCAGACACCAGAGGGCAGCAGGTGTCCACTGCTGACCCCAGGCAGGCGGCCCTGGCACGGGGCTGCTCACTGTCCCCGCCAAAGCCCCTGGCTGCCCTGCAGCAGGAGTGGGGGCGGGAGCTGCTGTTCCATACCTTCGAGACCCTCCCTTTCTTCCTCTTCCTCTTCTGGGGGGCGGGACTCTGCCCAGGGCACCCCACCCCCACCTCTCCTACCTCAGTTTCCCCACAGGGATGTCACAGGATTACTGAAGGGCCTATGCATGTAGCAGGAGCCTGTATAGGTGCATGTGTGTGCATGTGCACCTGTGTATGTATGTATGAGTGTGTACATGTGAGTGCATGTGTGCGCGTATGTGTGTATGATGTGAGCATGTTGTGTATGAGTGTAAGCATGTGTGTACGTGTGTGTGAGCATGTGTATGCATGTGTGTGTCTGCACACGCACACGCATGGCTCTCTTCTGCTCCTCTGTGAGGCCCGGCCCGGCCTGCAGTGAAGGTGGCCTGGGTGCGGTGGGAACCCGCCCCGCCCTGGGCCTCTGGGCATCAGTAGTCTCCAAGGCCAGGCCTGTCCCCCTGCCCCCCTGCCCCCTGCCCCCTGCCCCCCTGCCCCCCTGGCCCCTGCCCCCTGCCCCCCTGCCCCCCTGCCCCCTGCCACCTGCCCCCCTGCCCCCCTGCCCCCCTGCCCCCCTGCCCCCTGCCCCCTGCCCCCCTGCCCCCTTGTCCCCCCTGTCCCCCTGGCCCCCCTGCCCCCTGCCCCCTGCCCCCTGACCCCTGACCCCCTGCCCCCTGACCCCTGCCCCCTGCCCCCTGCCCCCCTGCCCCCTGCCCCCTGCCCCCTGCCCCCCTGCCCCCCTTGTCCCCCCTGTCCCCCTGGCCCCCTACCCCCTGCCCCCCTGCCCCCCTGCCCCCTGCCCCCCTGCCCCCTGCCCCCTGCCCCCTGCCCCCTGCCCCCCTGCCCCCCTGCCCCCTGCCCCCATGTCCCCCTGCCCCCCTGCCCCCCTGTCCCCCTGGCCCCCCTGGCCCCCTGTCCAGCCCCTCAGCCCCCTGTCCTGGGCAGAGATGCTGACTCACGGGGTACGCACCAGCTCCAGCCAGAAGTGAGGGTGCCAGAGAGGGAGGGTCTGTGCACACCGTGGTTTTTCTTGCTGCGTGTAGGTTCCCACTGCTTTGACACACCCGGCCCTGAGGGCGCCAGGTGCAGGGTGAGGGGCTGGTGCGGGGTGGGGGGCTGGTGCGGGGTGAGGGGCTGGTGCGGGGGGGGGGCTGGTGCGGGGTGGGGAGCTGG